AGCTGGGACTACAGGCACCACCACCACCATGCCCAGCTAAATTTTTTTTTTTTTTTTTGGTTAGAGTCTTGCTATATTACCCAGGCTGGTCTCAAGCAACCCTTTCACCTTGGCCTCCCAAAGTGCTGGAATTAGGGGTGTGAGCCACCGTGCCAGCCATTGTTTTTTGAATATTAAAAGAAAGGAAATGGTTACTAGGGGCCAAGGGAAACGGGGAATGGGAAGTTAGTGTTTAAGGAAAAAACTGTTTCAGTTGGGGAATATGAAAAAATTTTGGAGATGGATGGTGATGATGCTTGCACAACAATGTAAATGTACTTAATGCCACAAAACTGCATACTTAAAAAAAATGGTTAAAACGGTGAATTTTGGCTGGGCACAGTGGCTCACTCCTGTAATCCTAGTACCCTGGGAGGCTGAGGCAGGAGGATTGCTTGAGCTCAGGAGTTTGAGACAAGCATAAGCAAGAGTGAGACTCCATCTCTACTAAAAATGGAAAAGTTAGCTGAGTGTAGTGGTGTGCACCTGTAGTTCCAGCTACTTAGGAGGCTGAGGCAGGAGGATCACTTGAGCTGAGGAGTTTGAGACTACAGTGAGCTATGACGACACCACTGCACTATACCCAGGGCAACAGAGTGAGACTCTGTCTCAAACAAAACAAAAAAAACCTGGTGATGTTATGTATATTCTACAATATAAATAATAATAAAGGGAAACTCCAGAAGACTACAAACCTTAGGTCACACACACTATAGATCAAACATTATTTGGCCTTCCTAAACTATAAAATGCAACACACAAAACTGCACAATATAGGGAATGAAATTCCATAGCAAGGAGAAAAAAAAAGCCAGGCAGATCAAGGTTATAACCAAAGCTTCATTACTGTAAGATTTGTACACTGGGCAAATTAATAAACTCCATAATATTTCCCTAACCTTCCAAAAAAGGTGAGTTTGGTGGTATTGAAAACTGCAAAAGTAGCTAGGCACGGTGGCTCACACATGTAATCCTAGCACTTTGGGAGGCTGAGGCTGAGAGGTGGAAGGATTGTTTGAGGCCAGGAGTTTGAGACCCGCCTGGGCAAGAGAGACCCCCCCCCATCTCTACAAAAAATAGAAAAGTTAGCCAGGCATGGTGACGCACACCTGTAGTCCCAGCTACTTCTGAGGCTGAGGCTGCAGGATCACTTGAGCCCAGGAGTTTGAGGTTGCAGTGAGCTATGATGATGCCACTGTACTCTATCTAGCCCAGGTGACAGAGCAAGACCCTGACTTGAT